CTCTTCATGATCGAGTGTACTTGGCATTGTCAAGAGAAAGCTATGCAAATAGAAACTAGTAACTCAAATATTTCCTAAAGGCATCTTCATCCCTCCTTCTGTAAATTGCTGAGATCTTTTATCTCTGTTTATATGCCTAGAGGTGCTGTCCAAACAAGACCAGGACATACAAGGTAATTATGTCAAGGTGTCCAGCCTGAGACAGACAGGGGGCCCCATGGGATGGGCCTTGATGTGCCAGATCTGTTTGCCCACACATAATGGACTTAATTTGGGGCAGCTCTGTGCAACAGCCCTGGCTGTGTCTCCTTGGCAGCCTCTGTGTAGACACTGCTCAGAGGAGCATCAATCTTCCCCTCCATCTGTGCCATGGGAGGAGCTGCCCTGATGTCTTAGGATTTTAGCCTTTATATTTATCAAATCCTGTGCTGCATTAGTGCATAACCTCCAAACAGAGGGTCAGCTACTGTCTTCACACTTTGGTCAGATAAAACAATTCCTCTGGGCCTGGAACCCAAGGACACCCCACAGCCTCAGGCCCTGAAAGAATAAACAAAAGTGAATTGGGGGAGCAAACTGGGGGTAAATGACTTCATTAGCTGAAGCTGGAATTGGAGCATCAACCCCTGAGATGGAAATGGACCAAACTTGTAATTGTCTGAGAAACTTGTGACCATCTTCCAGCTTGGGTGCAGCCTCTGGGAGGTTTCTGACTGCCCAAGGTGTGCCTGTTGAAGGCCTTCAATAAACACCCACTTTATTCTCTTAACTTTGTCTGGCCTCTGTTCTAGGCAGCCACCCCAAGGCACCAGCCCCAGTGCCTTCCCCAGTGCCTTCCCCTCGCAGCAGGGAGGCTGGAACAGGAGCCTGGGGCTGCACTGGGGACACAGAAAGGCCAGGGCAGTAAAAATCTGTCCTTGATTTTCAGATTCAAAACATCTGGGCTAGTGCTGCCTTTGGGTTGCAAATATTGCTGTCTACAAAGTTCAATGTTTTTATAAACAAAGAAAAAAAGTTGATTTCTGATTGTTTTCCCCACTGCCAGCTGCAGGAGCTAGAGCAGCTGTGGGGTGGCTGGTTTGCATTCTGTCTTCTAACTTTTCTCTGCTATACATTTGTTTGGGCCTCTCCAAGAACACATACCGAGTTGTCCTTGACATTACAAAGCCAGGCACATAAATGTTGTTTCATATGGAAATTAGTAGCTGTTTTTCAAACCTTGCTTTAATTGCAAAGATCAAAGTGTGGTGAGCTGAGCCCTTTGAGCCGAGGAGGTGCCGTGTTTGGCAGGGGGAGCGTTCCCTTCCCTCCATGCTCCCCTGGAATCCGGCAGCTCCCTCTGCACAGCCGGCTGATGGTGCCACCTCCAGCACATTTTGCCAAAAGCCTTTTACCTGCTGGTGTGTTTTATCCTGCCTGGGACAGGATAAAACAGGATATCCTGCCTCTCTTTCCCCACAGCCAGCACAGGGGATGGGGATGTGTGGCACCATCGGTGCTCCTGTGCCGTGGAAATGCCAGTCCTGGCTCTGAGCCTGCTCTGGGAAAGGGCTCTTGGGGTGTGTTGGGTATTTTTGGATCAGCCTGGGAGTTGGGACGGACACAGTGTAAGGCACAGCCTGAACTGGGGGCAGAGAGAAGCAGAGCCCTGCCCACGGTGATCACTGGACCCTGCTCAGCATCCAGGGCTGCCCCTGCCCTGCAGCAGCACAGAGGGGCAGGGAGGGGACCGGGCAGAGCCTGCCAGCCTGAGCACAAGAAGGTCTGTTGAGTGCTGCTGTATTACATTAATTGAGATAATCCCAAGAACTGATGAAATGGTTTTTTTCTCTTTATTTCATGCTCTATTCCATATAGATCATTCCTCCCCAGAAGCATGGTGTTTGTTGACAGTTAAACAAATCCTGGCTGTTCACATGTATTTTATTTATTCCTTTGCATGAGAACTGGCAGTGTCCTGCCTGCCTATTTGGCCAGGCTGGTGATCCCACAGTTGTGACTTCCTGTATTTTGCAAATCATATCCACATTATGGCTGTTGTTGAATAGAGAAAATGTAAGGTATTAATATTAATGAATGGATTAAAACGGCAGCTGAAGATTCTCTACTCAGCCCTGTGGCTTTCAGTGACTCTGAGTAGAACCATGTGGCTCCATGAGCTCAGTGTATCAGCCCTATGTGCTGTGAATGCAAGGTCAGCCTTGGTCTCTTGTCTTCTCATCACGTTACCAAGATGTGACAGCGTGGTACTGCGTGGTATTAATGCCTTCACATCAGCAGTGCTCTGTTTGTGTGATCATCTCAGTGCTAGAGGAAGTCCACTCCGTCTGTCTCTGGTAATGGCCACGGTGTGTGTGCCAGCCTGCACATCACACTCGGAGCACTGATCCAGACTGGCATGTTTCAGCACAGAGAGAAGGTGTTTTGTCTGAGAAAGAGCCGTGTTCTGTATGTGCTGGTCACAGCTGGGATGTTGAAAGCCTGCTGCATGCCACCACACTCCAAAGGTTTAGCAGCTTCTGCCCATTTCCTGAGCAGCAGCCATCCCTTCCCGCAGGGATGTGTAACTGAGCAGGGCGTGGCAGCAGCTGCTGTGACCTGGTGTCACACCTGAGTGCAGGTGAGAATGAGATCAGTGTTTAATCAGCTCCCCTCCACAGGGCTGGCCAGGTGCTCGGCTCCTCACCCCTCACCCTGTTACTGCTCTCCCTCCCTGCAGCAGGAGCTGGGCTCAGCTCGTGGTCTGCAGTCCCACAGCAAAGGGATGATTGCCCAAAGCAGCAGCAGAGCCCTTTGTGAGAGTGGCTGCACCCACAGCCCAGCTCTTCTGGAGCTGAAGCTTGATAGCCAAGTCTGGAAAAATACACTTCTACATCCACTCTCTTCCCTGCTTGCCACTGCTTTACATTAAAAAGCTAAAACCTCTAAATGACTGAGGGTGCATTCCATCTCCCCATCCAGATCATGGATAAATATATTTAGAGAATCACAGAATATCCTGAGTTGGAAGGGACACACAAGGACCATCAAAGTCCAACTCCTGGCCTTGCACAGACACCTCAAGAATTCCACCCTGTGTCTGACAGCATTGTCCAAATGTTCCTTGAGTTCTGGCAGCCCCACCACCCTCTGGGTAAAGAACCTTTTCCAGCCTGAAAACCTAACCTTTCCAACCTAAAAACCTAACCTATCCAACCTAAAGCTGCTGTGACACAGCTTCAGGCCATTCCTGTGGGTCCTGGCACTGAGCAACAGAGAGCAGAGATCAGTGCCTGCTCCTCTGCTGTCCCTCAGGAGAGCGGGAACACTCAACCCTGTCATCATCATCATCAAAACACTCCCTCACATCCAGGGTTCCCCCACTGCCTCTCCTTCCATGCCTGTTCCTTCTGAAGGATTTGTGGCCACCCACTGCAGCACTCCAGTAGTGAGAATCATCCCACCACGTTGCTGTGGTGGCAGCTGTATCCCAGTTTTCCTTCCACACCATAGCCTTCGGCTCCTCCTGTTTGTTTCCCATCCTGTGTGCATTAGTGCACTTCAGTTGGGCTGATCCCGCCACCTTTTGTTGGGGGGAGAGGCTCTAATTTCTACATGACCATTCTGAGGCACTCCTGTTGTTTTTAACACATCAATAACCCTTTTGTTTTTGCTGCCACATGGATCCATCCCCTACTTTCACAGAGACATACATAGCTGCACTGCATCCCACCTAGCTCTGGCTACACACTGGCTGTGTGGGTAAGTGGGAACCTCTCACCCTCTCCTTCCCCATCATCCTGTTATTTTTGTCAATGGAAACACTGCATTAAGCTGTTTCTGGTTCAGTGAAGGGGCATTTGTTATCCAAAGGCAGACTGCATTTCAATTTTCTTTCAAATGCCTCGTTAACCCTCTTCTGATTTACTCAGCTCCCGATTATCCTGACGTTCTTTCCCAACGTGCATCCGTCTCCTTTGTGGAGAGGCAGAAGCAGTAACCCAGAGCAGGGGATAGCTCTGGGTGACAGAGCAGCCCAGGGGCTGTGGCTGGCCTGTGACACTGCTGCAGTGCTGGGACAGTGGCACAGACAGCTTTTCTCTTTCTCCTGTTGTCTTCCCATAATTGATCACTGCACCATTTTCCTTCACTGCAGCTCCCCAGTGGGCACATCCTTTTTAGCAGAGCCCCAGTATGCACTCCATCTTCTCAGGCAAATCTTTGGTGTTCAGCCAGTCCCAGGTGCACTCAGGGAGCTCTGTGTGTGCTCTGTGGTTGTTGAAATCCAATCAGCTGATGAGCCAGTGGCATCAGGCACTCCTGCTGGACCAGCCCACACTGCAATGGCACCCAAGTGTTACCTGGCTCCCCCACAGCAGAGGTGGGACTGGCAGGAACGGCACCAGGCACAGCATCACTGTGCTCAGGAGCCCCCTTGCAGCTTCCAGCTTCCAACCACATGGGCTTTGGTTTTGGTTTGGGTGTTTTAATTGTTGGGGGTTCTGTTGTTCCTAGAGAGGGGCCTCTGGGGAATGTAGTAAATAACTGTTGTTCCTCTGTGTAATTCCTTAAACATCTCCAGGAGTCTTATTTTAAACGTCTTAAGTGCTACATTTAACCACTTTAAAGGCTTCAGCCTCTCCCCATTCCAGAGCAGCTCTGAGGCCTCCAAATGCTTTCTGCTCTGAAGTATGTCTCTAAATATTGATGCTGAAGGTTTTATTTCAAGGCTTTTCTGAGCAGAGCTGCACTGGCAGCACCAGAGCATCCTCCACAAACAAGAAACCACCGAGCCTTGTTTACTGAGGCAAAGGCAGCAGTGTGAAATACCAGAATTTATGTTTTTATGGTAGCAAATGTAGCGTGTGCAAATGATTCTGAATAAATGCTGTTGAGAGCAGGTGAAGCAACTGGCAGCCTTGCACCAACTCTTGTTGCTCATGGGGGGCACAGAGCTGGCAGCACGCTGGCACACGGTGCTGCTGCCCAGGAGGGACTGACAGGGACTGCTCTGCCCACAGCTCATCAGCGATGGCAGCGTGGTGTACGCAGAAGCTCTCTGGGACCACGTCACCATGGATGACCAGGAGCTGGGATTCAAGGCCGGCGATGTCATCGAAGTAATGGATGCCACCAACAAGGAGTGGTGGTGGGGGAGGATTCTGGACAGTGAAGGCTGGTTTCCAGCCAGCTTTGTTCGGGTAAGACCGTCATCTTTCTTTGTGCCCTCTCCATTAGCAGCAGGAGTTTGTTCTTTTTCTCCAGGTTTAATGTTCTGTGGTGACTCCTAAGGACTTTCCCTGTTGGAGATGTTTCAGCATGTCTTGTTAGTATTCCTCTACGAGAGGCTATGGAACAGGGTGCCCTCCTGGCTGAGCAGCCACCAGTGTGGAGAACTTCCTCTACATGAGCAAATCAGGGCAAAGGGTTCAGCTCCAGACTGGAGGAGAGCTGAGCTGAGCTGTGCCAGCTGGGGAGCTGCCCCGTTTGGTGCTGTGCAGCCTGGCTCCTGCATACCCATCTGTATATTGGCTGATTTGTGCCCAAGCACATGGCATCTGCTTCCAGGAGCAGGCAGCACTCTCCTGGAGGAAGCCCTGATGCAGCTGGCAGAGATCTTCCCTCCGGTGTCCACTCAGACAATAGAGATGAGCATGGCTGCAGAGGCACCTCTCTCCAGCTGGGGCAGGGCTCAGAGGATGCACCCACCTGGCCCAGGCTGCTGGGCTGGCACACAGCACTGGATGCCAGGCACTAAAAATGGAGGAGAAAAACACAAAAAACCTCTCGGCGGTCCTCTGGGGCAGGCTGAGACTCTCGGTGCTTTGTGAGAGTGACAGACCGAGGCTGTCCCCTGGTGCCAGCTACAAAGGCCACACAGAAGAGCTGTGCAGACCGGCCCAGACAGTCCCAACTGCTCACTGCAGGGGCTTCATTTCCAACAGAGCTCTGTGAAACACATCTGAACTCTCAGGGCAAGCAGGGGGGAAACCAGGAGTGTGGCAGGGTGGTAACTGCTGTGCTCCGCTGTCCTGCTGTGAGGAGAAAGGCTTTTTTCCTTTCTCCTGGCTGTGACTGTGCTGGGGGTGCCTGACAGCTTCCAGCACCTCGGGGCAGGCTCCTCAGCGCTGCAAAGGCAATTAGGTGCCCAAGGGCAGGGATTCTCAGCCCTTTAGCTCTTTATCCAGGTCACTTCAGATCACAAGTGACCCGAAACCAGGTGAAGCATGAAAGGAGGTGACACGGGGTCATCTGGTGTCTGTAGCTGAAGTCCTTGGAGAAGTGGGGCAGTTTTGAAATGCTTTGTTATAGGTTGCAGGAGATGGTCTCAGCTGGGTAATTATTACAAACATTGGAATGTTTTGCAAGATTACCGAGCCCTCAGCGCTGCTTTTTTTTGCAATGAAAACACAGACATTTTTTCTTTCATGTTACTGGTAAATTGAATTGTCCTGGCTGGCAAAAACTTGTCATAGTATCTTAGAGTAAGGCAGATTAGTACTAGGCATTAGCGATGCAGAGTAAGAAATTCTTTTAAGGCAGGAATCACAGCACTTATTCAAGCATCCAGGTGAAGATTTCCTGCTAATTCACTCCTCTGAAGCTCACTGCAGGGAGGGCTGCTGTGTCTGGGGGTTTGGGTGACACTGCAGGACTCTGTCACTCCACATGAGTTTCAGGCCGATGTCTTGCTCACACTGAAGGAGAACCAGGATTGCACATCTTGAGGGCTTCAGCAGTGAGTAAATGTAATCTGTGCCTGTGTTGGCAAAGGGAGGGGTGTGCACTGGTTTTTATATATAGTGTATTTGTATCAAGTGGTAAGTTACAGAACCTAGAAGAAACGACATTTAAAGTTTAAAGCAGTTCTGTGTCATTGCACTAAAAATTCTGATAATTATGTGTGTTTTAACTTCCTGTCTTTCACCCTGTCCTGGGATGGATCCTTTGAGCCATGTGCAGAGTCCTCCCTCGGGCACTCCAGGAGCTACAACAGTACCACAGGAAAGAGAATTCCTGAGTGAAACGCCCTGGTTGTGGCAGCTTTAACTCGGGTCCTGTGGGGCTGCAGCAGAGTCTGCTGGGGCTCCCAGCCCGGTGTTTCCCTGTGCTGCCATTTGATGGGGGCCTGGAGCCCCACACAGCCCTGCCTGTAGTGCCCTTCTTGCCCACGGTGGTGCCCACAGGCAGCTGCTTTTACTCCAGCAATGAACTCTCTTTAAATAATCCTGACACCGGGGGGCCATCTCTTACCTACAGTATGAGAACAATAAAGCAGATAAAAACCCAACCATTTACTGGTTCTCCCCTCCCTCCCGAAGTGTTCCTTCAAATATTTAAGAAAAATTTCACTCCACGAACCATTTTTGTCCTGATTTTATATGTATTCTTCCTGAAGGACTCCATATTATTCCTGTGACTTCAGTCCACAAGAAATGCCTGCTTAAAACCCCCCGTGTCACGGTGGGAGCAGCTGCCATGTGGCTTGAAAGGACCCTCCCCAAAGTGACTGTCTGGTCTCAGCTTCCCCGAGGGGAAAATGTTTCCAGGCAATCCACACACCCTCTTCACACCTTGTCCCAGCTCAGTGTTTGTCTGCCCACCCAGTCCAGTGGGCAGAGCTGTGTTTAGCAGTAGGAGCAGTGAACATCTTGTGTGCCTGCACAGCTGCGAGTAAACCAGGATGAGCCCATGGAAGATTATCCCCTGAAGGTAGAGGGGGGCAAAGAGGACGACTCCAGACGCTTTGGGATGGGCCAGACCACCAAAGACCAAATGAGGACCAACGTCATCAATGAAATCATAAGCACAGAGAGAGACTACATCAAGCACCTGAAGGACATTTGTGAGGTAAGGAATAAAGGGAGAAGGGACTGTAAGAACTTGGCTGAAGATAATGGACTGTGTCCCATTCTTGCTCAGAAAGGGACCCTAAGCAGGTAACTTTTCTGAAAACGAGACTGTATTTTCATCAGTTCTGCTGAATGCCATTATATGCTCAAAAAACAGAAGACAATTTATTACAGCAAAATCCCAAATGCCTCTGCATTTGGAGCACTCACTTGTGCTCTGATTAAATGGAATTAATTGAATTTCCCAAGCCAGGGAAAAGTAAATGTCTAGCACTGCTGTCCTTTCTAATATCTGTTCTGGGGTAATATAATCAGCAACTCCAGCCTTCAGGCAAGCCATGCTCAGATCCAAACTGAGGTTGCTCAGCCAATTGGGTCCTTTACTGTCAAATATGTAGAATATCGTGACAACTCCTTTAAAAGAGATCCATCGTGTACACTGTGGGGGTGAAGGCAGGTGGAATTTTTGCAGGAACAGAACTCTCTGCTGCAATGGTACCAAAGTGTAGTGGCTGCAGCAGAGGCAGCTGGGGCAAAGAGCACACACAGTTACAAACAAACCTCTCCTGTGCCTGGAGTCAGTCATCAGCTCCTCACACGGGCACCCAAACCAGGTCCACAACTGCACTTAAGTGGTCTGAATCCAGCAGTGCTGGGCTCAGAGCACCCCACTGCCTGCAGACACACAAAGGCTTTTTCAGCAAGAGACAAAGCAGCTCTGTGACTCCTTCAGGTGTGGGCTGCAGCATCCCACCGAGAGTCTGTGGCAGCTTCCATTTCTACCACGTTTAGGGTATCAGAAGAAATGATAGTTAAAGATGGGTACATCTGTGCAGGAATGTGATGTACACCTGACTGCAGTCCTTGAGGCTTTCTGTTGCCACAGAGCAGGTGCCCAGGAAACTTTCCAATTTGGTTTTCTCCTAGGGTTACATTAAGCAGTGCCGCAAAAGAGCAGACATGTTTACAGAAGAACAGCTGAAGACAATCTTTGGGAATATTGAGGACATCTACAGGTGCCAGAAGAAATTTGTTAAAGCATTAGAGAAGAAATTTAACAAAGACCACCCACATTTGAGTGAGGTTGGCTCGTGCTTCTTGGAATATGTAAGTAAATTTGACTTAATGGGAAAGGGGTAGCTGAGCATGATTAAACCAGATGATTTAGAAATTTATCTGACAGAACTGAAGCTTTTTTAAAAAGACCCATCCAATCAAATTAAATGCCACCACCCCCCACCCTGGCCCTGTTCAACCACTCCCCACTTCCCAAAGAAAAATACCCTGTAGCTTGTGTGGCTGTGGAAAGAGCATTTCCAAGTACCTCACCTTCTGAACACTCTAATCCCTGCCAGACCTTCGTACTTCAGGGAAAACGTAGGAAGGTTCCAAAATCTTGAGGGGGACCGAGTTTGCCGTGATTTTCAGGTATTTTGCAGTGAGTTTGCAGTGATGGTATTTTCAGGTCAGTGCAGGATCAGCTGTGGCTGGTGTGGGCACCAAAAGCATTCTGCTGAGCCCAGACCAGGTATGTGGGAATGTCTGGGTCTCTCAGATGAGCTGCAGGTGCTGAACCTGTAACACACCCTGCCCACCCCAGCTTTAGGTGTCTGGTCTTGAGAAGCCTGGGGAGGATACAAATCCCCAAAGTGTTCCAGTGACAGGGTACAAATCCCCAAACACACAGAGGAGTCTGTGCCAGGGCATGGCCTGGGGAACAGGGGCAGTAAATCCCTCTCTGTCCCTTGCAGCAAACAGAGTTTCAGATCTACTCTGAGTACTGCAACAACCACCCCAACGCCTGCATGGAGCTGTCGCGCCTCACCAAGGTGAACAAGTACGTTTACTTCTTCGAGGCCTGCCGGCTGCTGCAGAAGATGATCGACATCTCCCTGGATGGCTTCCTGCTCACCCCCGTGCAGAAAATCTGCAAATACCCCCTGCAGCTGGCTGAGCTGCTCAAGTACACCAACCCCCAGCACAGGTAGGCCAGTGAGGGGGGAGGGAAGGAGCCAGGCTGCTCTCCTGGAAATGGGCTCCTGCTGAATCTTGCTTGGAGAGCAGTGGCTAACTGCAGCCAACACCACAATTCTTACAGGTTACCTTGTAGAAACCAGGAAAAACGGTACATTTATGTCAAGTACATCATTTTCCACTACACTGAGCTTTCCTGTCACAGACTGAGTTAAAAGGTCCACTTTATAATGGCCCTTTTCTATTTCATTTGGCTCAGTATCTGCCATAGCAGCACATACGTACTTTGGAGCTACGTGTTTCTGGTGGTGGTGTTGAGAACTTTACCTCCAAAAGCATTGGTTGAATTTATCCCAAAGTGTCCATACAGCTACACTTCCCCAGTGGGAAGCTGTGCCCTGCAGCAGTCCAGCCATGCATGCTTGGTGCCCCCTCAGTGCCAGCTCCAGAGCCTCCAAATCCATCACTCGCTTTCAGGGTGAAGGCACTGCCTTTGGCGCAAATAACTGTTGCTTAATTAAGTATCTGAAAACATGAAAAATCTGTATGAAAATGTTGATAGTGGTCCATTGTGGTTTGACTTAATTTCACCTTCCTAATTGCAGCCCTGGTACTTCCCAGAACGGTTTTAAGCATGTCCTGTTAAATCTCTAAGCGTGTTGTCTGGAGCTGACCTCGGAGCAGAAAGCTCCTTAAGGGAAGTGCACAGATGTTTTGAGAGTTGCCTTAGAGCCAAGTTGTGCAGCTCAGCTACTTCCCAGCCGCTCTGAACTCAGCAGAACTAGCTGGTGGCCACAGATGGTGTGTGGGGGAGGGCAGATGAGCCTCTGTCCTCCCCTGCCAGATAAACCATCAGCTCCTGTTTGAAACAAGCCAGTTACTGTTGAACTGCTTCACCTCTGCACCACAGACCTGTCCCTGCATGGGAACAGCAGCATTGTGAACATTTTGTATTATGTTGCAAAAAGAAAATGAGAACCAACAGGTTCTTCCAGCAATTCGTATTTACACCTCTGTAGCTAAATTTGATTACTTTCCCCCTTCCCCAGAGGTGGCCTAGATTTGTTACCAGACCATAATCTGTGCCTCAAAACCAGCGAGTGCCTGAGAAGCTGCCACAGGAACACGTGTATGATTCCAGCACAGAACAGCTGGGACAGACTGCAGGTGGAATTCCTGGCTCCATCCCCAGCTCTGTGCCAGGCTGCTCTCCTCTGGAGTGTAGGTACAAAACCCACGTGCCATTCTGCCAAACCTAATGCTCTGCCCCTCCCCAGGGATTTCAAGGATGTGGAGGCTGCCTTAAACGCCATGAAGAACGTGGCTCGGCTCATCAACGAGAGGAAGCGGCGGCTGGAGAACATCGACAAAATCGCTCAGTGGCAGAACTCCATAGAGGACTGGGAGGTGAGAGACTCCCCTGCCCAAGGAATCCCATGTAGCTCCTCTTCTGTCCTTCCAGCAGCTTCTCTCTACAGTGACATCTCACTGTCCAGCCCCACCTCAGCTCTCTGCCCATCTTTGTGGAGAGTCTTTAATTTTTACTTCAAAAATTATGATCTTTTAGTACAATGGAGCAGGTCTGGCATATAACCTGCCTCGACCAGCTGCCTTTGCATGTTCCCTGGCATTTTTGCTTCCCTGTTTTTCCTTGCAGAATGAAATCAGCATGTAGGTTAGTGAAATTCTATTCTTTTTCTCTTGCCCCCCATTTTATCTTGAGTGACTTCAAACTTTCAAGATGAGCAGAATTACATCTTAATTCTTAATAAGCCAGGTTATTATTGCAGAAAGGCAACTGGCATAGTGACAGAGGAAACCTAGGTTCCCTGTAGACTCATTAAAAGATTTTGCTAGATAAAAGAAACAAAATACTAATTTTCTAAATCCTAGACTTAATAAACACACACAGTCTCCCTTGCCCAAGAATGTCAAGCTAAATTCTTAGCTCCCTGCTTATATTCCTCCTTTATGTGTGGGATGGAGCTGCTTTCCTGAGCAAACTCCCTGGAAAAAGTTATTAAAAAAATTAACACACTATCGTTCTAATCAAATTCCCATTCTCTGGGTGCCAAGAGCGGTGTCTCCCTGATGTGCCAAGGACTGTCCTCCAGCACAGTGGGTCTCTCTCATTCCCAGATGAGTTCTGGCAGCAGGAATTCAGGCTCCCACTTTCAGAAGAGGCTGAGACCAACCTGTTCTTTGTGCTGTTCTCAGGGAGAAGATGTCCTAGTCAGAAGCTCAGAACTCATCTATTCTGGGGAATTAGCCAAGATCTCCCACCCTCAAGCCAAGAGCCAACAGAGGATGTTCTTCCTCTTTGATCACCAGCTTGTCTGCTGCAAAAAGGTAACCCATAAATGCTGGCTACTGCTGTGCTGATGCATTTAAGAGAGCTCCTTCTCCACCCCTTTGTTTCCTTAATTCTTCCTGGTTTCATGTGCTCAAGGCATTCAGCCTTCTCTGTGCATTCTCTGCAGTCTTTTCTCTGCTGTCCTGGAGTGTTCTGTGCACCTGAGCACAGCAATCAGCTACTGGCCCAATTCTCACAGCACAAGAGAAAAGCACTGCACTGCTTCTGGGGTTGGTGTGGGGTTATTCTGTACAACTCAGTTATAAGTATTGTCACACAAGTTATTTTAACTACCTTGTTTCTCATCTGAACTTCCACCTCAGTGCTGTATTCAGAAAAAACTGCAGGTTTGATGAACAGCTGTGGGCCTTGGCAGTCAGTGAGGCCGTGCTAACAGCACATGGAAGTCTGTAAGTACAGCTCATGCTGGTTTTCATCAGCTGAGTAATAAAAGAAATCTCTCTTGGAGCCAATGAATGGGACCTTCCTCTGGCATTTCAGAACTGAATGTGCCAATTATTTTTTTGCATATACACCACAGCATGGAGGTAGCTCCAGGTAACTTAGGCATGAAAATCGCTGCTCTCAAAGTTACTTTTGATTGTCAACAAAAAACCAATTACTTAATAAGTATTATTGTTGCTTTTTAACTGGAACTGAAGGATTGGAATAGTGTTTTCTGTCAGAGGCTTCAAGAGGATTTGGGATCATGTGTAATACCTGAGCTTCATGCAGCAGACAGGCCCCAGCACAAACACCAGCCTGTCCTGACCCCACTGCCACAAGAAGCCACGTGGTCCCCAACAGTGCCCATAGCAGCTCAGCACGCTGCAGTTCCACAGACTCAAATCCAGAATTCATTTCTTTTACAGGACTGCAATGAAACCAGGAAGGGTAAATGCTCCATCATCCCCATGAAACAGCAACATCTGTTGTGATCTCTCTTGCAGGACCTTCTGCGCAGGGACATCTTGTATTACAAGAGTCGGATCAACATGGATGATATGGAAATCCTGGATGTAGAAGATGGGAAAGACAAGGACTTCAATATCAGTGTGAAAAATGCATTTAAACTGTACTGCAGAGACACTGAGGAAGTCCATTTATTCTGTGCAAAAAAGCCTGAGCAGAAACAGCGCTGGCTGAAGGCATTTGAGAATGAGAGGAGGCAAGTGCAGCTTGACCAGGAGACAGGTATGGAAAGAGCAGTGCTGGGAGATTGGGTTTTTTAAAATTGTTTTGGTTTTTCATCTTTTTTTTACCCATCAGCTAATGCCTGAGGAGTGAAAGGGAGGGGAAGCCAATCCATGCTCCAGGGCAGCTCTGGGCTGCCAAATTACACATTGTGAATGAATCTGTGCAATTAAAGAACTGCAAACCATCATAAACCATCTCTGCAGTTTGTCCTCAGGGAGGCTGATGTGTCTTCAGGAGTTCAAGCAGGGCTGACAAAATAGTCAGTACATTACATGTAGGGTCCAGAACAGATAGAACAGGTTCAGACAAGGGTTCTCACTGTGTTGTGTTGTTTTGTCCAAATCCTTCTTAATTCAGCCTGGTGTGATCTGAAAGATTTCAGCCACCACTGCCCCGGACTGGCTTCTCTTCCCAGTGCAGCATGGGCTGAGGGGCTTGCAGCAAACCCTGCATGGGGGGGTTGTGCAGCACAGCTGTGCCCCCCCAGCCTTGGCAGTAATTGTGGCCTCACACCTCAGGCATTTGCCTACCCTGTCTTCTCCTGAGGTACCAAATGATGAGCTGCTGCTGACAGAAATCTGCTTTATCTTCCAGGTTTTTCCATCACAGAGGTGCAGAAAAAGCAGGCAATGTTGAATGCCAGCAAGCAGCACCATGCTGGGAAGCCCAAGGGTGAGTCACACCTGAGGAGCACTGTGAGAATGGGGGGTGGCTCTGTATTTACTACAAGGGAGAGGTTTCCATGAAGTGGCATTAACAAACTCTCAAGAAGGCCAGATGGCGACAATTTGCACTACAATTCCTGGTAGATTCGGATGGCTGAGTCAGGAGAGTATTCCTAACTTCAGGAGAGCCACTTTGCAAAAATCAGCACTCTGCCAAAACCCAGCAGCTTCTGCTCCAAGGCCAGTGCACAGCCTCTCCCAGCAGAATGGCATTCCCTCTGGGAAAAGGCAAGTTTTGCAGTAGTCCCCATGGTGCACAGAGGGCCACAGAGGTCACTGCAGCAGGGACTGTTCCTGCCGGGAAGCTGTGCCTGTGGAATGTGCTGAGTGCTGGGGGTAGGTACCATGCTTGAGCACTGCTCTTCGTTCAGCCTGTCAGAGACAAGGATAATTAGCAGAGAGTGAATTAGGAGAGTGAAGTTAAGCAAAATAAAGGTTCCTGTGCTCACAGCACAGTTGGCTGAGGACAGCAGTGCTGATGCCACCTTCCCCTTCTCTTGTTCTTCCTTGTTCAGAGGAAGAGGTATTGCTTGGTTTCCTCTGAACCCACAGAGGCAACCACTTCCTCTTGCTGGAACCAGCCAGCATTTAAAGCCCAGCCACATCTCCTGAAAGAAAGCTTGGCTAAATGTCAAAAAGGGTCAGAAATAAGATTTGGCTGCAAACAGGGGAACAGGGGGATGTTTGGAAGGAGGCCAGACCACGCTAACAGAGCAAAGCCCTTAGAGGAGACTGCACAGACCAGCTTTGCCCACCACACAGGCACTGACCATTCCTACTCAGAAATCCAGCCCAGGAGGTTGGAACTTGCACAGCAGCACTTGCACAGCAGCTGCTTCTCCCAGCACAGCCAAAAGCACCAGTGAGCTTTGTCACCAGTCCCAAGCTGCAGCTCTAGCTCTGCTGTCATGTTGGCAGAACACCTGACAGTTGTGCAGCACATTTCTGGGCCTTCCACATGAGCTCTAATCTTAAAAGGCACTGCTGAAAGTGAGGATAAATTAAAGGAAGGGTAGCACTAAAACAAACCCAATTCACAGCCCTGCAGTTTTAATGGGCACCGGGGGAGGTGGTAGAGCAGGGAGAAGGAGCTGTGTTCAACTAACATGCTTCCCATCTCCTCCTCCTCCTCCCAGCTGTCACCAGGCCCTACTACGACTTCCTGATGCGGCAGAAGCACCCCACCCTGCCCACCACGCTCCCTCAGCAGCAGGTCTTCATGCTGGCAGAGCCCAAGCGCAAGCCCTCGAACTTCTGGCAGAACATCAGCAGGCTGACACCCTTCCGGAAATAGGGGCAGCCCCGTGTTTGTGCCTGAACCCCTTCTGAGAAAGCACTTTATCCGTCAGCCCCGGCAGGTGGAGCCCAGGTTCATCCAATCCTGTGTTTACAGAGGATGGCACATGTGCTCCTGCCTTCCCTATTTATTTTGCAGCCCGACTGACCCGCTGGCTCCGCGGTGAGCGCTCGCACGGCCGCGGGCACTGCCCGGCAGCAGAGCTCCAGGAGCGGGCAGCAGGGAGCTGCACAGGCTGCAGCCCCAGGGATTGTGTTGGCAGCCGTACTTGGACTCGCTCCTTCCCGCTGTGCCCACCGCTGCTGGCTGGCAGCTGGCACAGGGGATGGCAGCTGATGGACCCTGGCCACTGCCGTGCTCAGAACAACAGCTCAGAGTCCGTGACGAGGAGGGATGAGCCCTTCTGCTCTGCCCACCCCCGTGCCCTGCATTTCTCAGAGCTATGATCCTCCTCCACCTGTCCAGCTAACTCTGCAGCCTCTGCAGGCACTCAGAGCACAGTGAGCACTGCACTGTGACCTCCTCCCTCCCTTTAGTCCAGCACCAGTGCTGAACGGTGTCCTACATTAAACTGTGCCAACCTGCAGCATGAGTCAAGTCGAAGAATCTCTCTAGTGGGTTTGAGTTACATAAGTTAGAGAAAAATGTGCCTAATTAATACCATACTCAATTCTTTAGATTCTTGTCTCTACATCATTCTGCCATATTTCCTGGCCAATGAAAATGCTCATTGTTTGTAATGTGTTTATTTATGGTAAAAATCAGAACTGTGTATTTTGTAAGTCTGTAATTGTTCTTGTCAGATGTTGTTAACTTGATGCCTGTTTTGTCTGTTTAATTTTTCTTTTCTGTTTTTTTTTTTTTTTTTTAAAGAAAGGTCAATATTTGCAAACCTAGCTCCCAGAAGTCAGAGTCTGCTGTTCAACTCTGCAATGTCATTGTTATGCAAACTCCCACAGACCCTCAAATTCAAGGAGTGTTACTGACGCTTTTAAAAATGGAAAACCACTTTATAAAGGCCTAAATTTGGCATAAAGAGCCTCACTTTAAGTACCCAAGTTTCAAATGGTGGCCAAAAAGAATGAATTTAAACCTTGGTTAGCAAAAAGAAAGATTTGCCTTACCATAGTGAGAGTTAGAAGCCATACTGACTGAATTCCCTAGAGTAGGAGACATCCTGTGAGAGTGGAAGGATCATTCCAGCTCAAGTGTGAGTGAGCACTAACTGTCTGCAGAGCTCAGAAATCCAGTGTTTGTTGATGCTGTAGCTGACCAAAGTCTGGTCATCCAGGGATATCTGAATTCAGTAGCATGTACAAAGTCCTTCTTGCACTATATTTTCCCCCCAGACCAGGGGCAACATTTAATTTCATAAAGAAACTTGTAAAAGTGACTCTCGGCCTGTGTTTGTCTCCAGCCCGTCTATCTGTGTGAAACTGTTTCTTTTCAAAGTCGCTGTGAGGATTGTGCTCTTGCAGCTCCACAAAGGGCTGCTCAGCCAGAGCAGTGACCTCAGAGCAGCCATCCCACAGAGGGACAGTGGGGCCACAGGGACCTGACCAGAGGGGTCTCTCTGCTCTGGGGAGGACACTGGGTCAATGCTGGGGGATGGAGGGGCAAAAGGAAAAAAAATAAACAATCACTGTCTAAGAAGCCACTGAGATCAGGCAGCAGTATTAGCACAACACACACAGACACCAAGACACAGGCATGGGCACACTGAAAGATACCCAGAGACACTCATGGCCCAGCTGATACAGAGGCACTGCCAGGTGTGTACAGACACCCACTGGGGGAGATGGTGACCAAGCGACCCTGACACACAGGCACACACACAGGTATGTCAGACAGCTGCAGCCAGCACCACTCAGTAACAGAAGGCAATTGTCATTTCTGTGTCTACCCTAAGTGTCTGCACCCTCCTTTCCTTATCCATGGCATGTTTATTTTGATTGGCCAGGAAGAAAACCTGTTAGTACTAAAATTAACAATTTTCTGAGCTTATCATCAGCTTTGTAGCAAGTGGAGGGGGGTGGAGGGGCAGAGGACAATCCCATCCCCAACACAGATACAGGATCACATCCCTCACCCCCACACTGAGCATGACCAGCTGTGACAATGCATCAGGATGTTCACAGTCTTGTCCAGCTGCTATATGGGGACACTCAAGGATGGAGATTCTCCTAAAACCTCTTTACATCCCTGCTCAAAACCGCTCTGTCCCTAATGTGAAGGAAGTGCTGCCATCTATTCAAAGCTCCCCTTGCTGCAAGGTCTGATCTGGTTTTATGCAGAATGTTGATTAATATACTCAGCTTTACATCTACAATGAAATCACTCTGGTAGAAATCCTCACCTCTTCTCCCAAGGGAAATGAGGTGACAGTGGCACAGGATCCTGGAGTGCAGTGGCTGTCAAGTGCAACAACCCTGCCCCTGCCCTTCCTCCCCTGCTGAAACACACACCACAACTGGCTATTATTACTTACCTGTGCAGCAATACTCTGAACAGCAAATAAGCAGTGAGTGGTTAAAATAATCACATCATATATCAGCTCTTCCAGAACAGTCTTCATCTCTGAGCAGTGCGCACAAAGGAGTTTCAGAGACGCTTTTTTTACAGAAATTTCTGAAGTGCCAAACCAGACTTCTCTGGCCAGACAGCATCCCAGTCAATGGACAGTTAATTACTTCTGGAAGAATTCTAGTCTCTACTTGACTATCAGTACTTTTTCTAAAAAGTGTCCTCAGTTGCAATTCTAGCCTTGCATGCCGCATTTGGCGCTAGGATCCAATCCCCTATGCAAGACTGAGATCAGGTAAAAAAGCCAATCATACAAAGTGGTGGAGTTACAGCAACAACATAGAAACAGGTAAGGCTCAAACCCATAAACCCATTGTGCTCAACATAGCCACCCCACAGACTGCTCTGAAGAGGATTTCATCACAAAATACCATCCTTTGTTTAATACCCAGCACCACTTCCCAATTCTCACCACAACCCTCAGTGTTTCCTGAACAAACTGTCACAGATGACGTGCAACCTCCTCAGGTTTTAAGTGATTAGACACTTGAAAATCATCTCATCCCCCAAGCTGCTCGTTAAATGGCAAAGTGTACCTGTGTGTAAGATGAAAACAGATTAACCAAGCCCAGATTTCCCTCCTGCTCCCTTGACATCTGGATTTGGGCTGGAGTGACTCCCATTGTTCTGCCCATGGACAGTACCTGGGTGAACACATGTGCAGCCCAGACTGGAGATGTGCACAGTGAGGTCCCAAAGGCATCAGCTAAACTGGTGAGAATGGGGTTTCTGGCTGGTCAGGTACAGCCTCTGACAAAGCTCTCTGAGCTAAATGGACAAGACCATTGTCCACAAGAAGTGTCCATTTGCAACATGAAGAATCAGAGATGTGAGACCATCAGCATCCCTTTTTCTGGAGCTGAACCTTCACAACAGGGGCCAGAAATGCAGATTTGCATACAAAAGAAACTGAAGTTCCTGATGTGAGTGAACATCACCAATCCTTCTGGATTTTAGGGTAGAACCAGCTGAACTGCTCAGAAGAACAGTTCTGCATTGAGTTACATAAAGGGGACAAAGGGATTGGAGTCAGGAGTGGTTTGGGGTTTTTTGTTTAGGGGTGTTGGCTCTATCTGTTCCTGTCCTTCTGTAGGTATCCACTTAGGAAGCTTCTTGTAAAAGCAGCCATGTGTCTTAATGACCTAAAACTGCCCAGACTTCATTTGGTCAAATAAAATAGAAATATGTAAAGCTTGTGAATCGAAAACATGAGTTCCTTCAGTTACCAGCTAAAGTGAAGAGAACCAGTGGCTGCTAAATAATGTAGTTTCTGCTCTGACCAAAAAAAATAAAAAAAGGGAAAAAAATCTCTATTTTGAACTATTAGTTAGAATATCTGTTTCAGGCATTGTGGGTGCAATACACTGTTCAAATTCTAATGGCATTAAAACCAGCACAAACTGTCTTTGTGCTAACTCAAAGTAAAAACTAGGTCAGTTCCCATGGAGAGAAGAGTTCCCCCAAAGCAGTCTTTAATATCTTTCCTGTTTTGTCCATTCCCTGAAGGACAGTGGGGTGTCAGCCGGGGAGGAACCCCATCTGTGTCCAGCAGAGTCCTTGGCCTCACTGAGTGCATGGCAGGAGATTCCCACAGTGCAGGACACTGCTCTGCAAAGCCAGCACAGCACTGTCATCCAGGAGCCAACCATGTGCCAACCATGTGCATCTGGGTGTCCAACAGCTTCCCAAAAACACCTGGAAACCAGGTCTCTCTGTCACCAGCAGGGATAACTCAGAATCGAGGCACCTGCAAGCAACAAAAGAATCTCCACTTCAAACTGAGAATGCTTCATTTCTTGGGATGCCAGAAGTTAACTTTTTTTAAATAAAAAGGCCTTTCACCTGATGTGTCAAAATATCAGGCTTGCTCCTCCAAATTTACTGTAGTGGGAGCACATCTTCATGTAACAGCATCATTCAAGAGGTCTGTGGCAAGATTGGTATGCAACTATCAGTCTTTGAACAAGTACTGCACCCCTCAGACTCTGGAGCTGTCAGCACCTGGCAGGTGGGACAGCATCCAGCAAGGGCTGATTTCTCCTTTATTGTTGTGACTTCAATTGTTTTAATTCTCCTGTCAAGTTTCACCTTTTACCTGCTCATGAGGGTTATGGGCATTCCAAAGCCCATCTGGACAGTGAATATGACAGCACAGTAACTCCTAAAGCTTTAAGGAGGGGACTACTCGCACCTCATTCAAGTGCTGGAGCCTCAGCCTGTGCCTGCTGCTACTCACATTCTCTGCCAAAGTGGGCAGCACTCACCACTGCTGCAGACATCAGCAGTACCACACTGGTACAACCTGAATTACCAACTAGAATGTCCTGCACCAGCCTGCCAGCAGAAACTCCCTGTCCCAGAGCTCCCAGCCTAAGCTGTAGGTCTTCAGGTAGGTAATGGGTTAAAGAATAAGACTCTTGATAGTGGATAAAAATTAACTGAAAAAAAATTGAAGTGTTTTCAGCTGATTTGAACCCCCTGAAGACACAGTGGTGCTCTTTTAGCTGGATATTGTGGGGAGGGAATCAACCTTCCAGGCTGCAGCCAGCAGTGTGACCTGGCACCAGACAGAAATGCCTCCTGCAGGCCCTGCCAGTGCTCCACAGGCAGGGGACCAGAGCTCCAGGCAGCAGAGTGGAGTCACCTCCTTTCCACTCACAGCCACAGCTGCAGGCTCTGCACAAGCCAAAGGGTGCTCCTTGCCAGCCACACAGCAATCTCAGCTTGTCCTGCCTTGCCATTAAAACCTCACACCTTATTTCTCCTGTCTCACACATTTCCTTAACAAGCTACATGACTAAGATCCCATGGCTTTGGCAGTGCTGGCACTTCTAGGAAAAATGCAGGTTGCTTGTTCTTTTTGCTTAACACTCCTGACATCTTTCCCCCTGCAACTACAGCCTTCCTCTCCGCACGTCCTGAGCTTCTCCTCTGCACAAGTTTGCCACCAAAGCAGCTCCCTGTTTCACAGCCTGTGCAAATGAAATACCTGTGGTACTTACCCCAGAGCTGTGTACCTTCGTGTGTGACTGCCTACATTTAGAGTTGTGAGATGGGAAATAAACAAGCTATCAACTTTAAGTCTTGTATAATTCTGTAATCCTCCCATAAAGCATTAACTACTGACTTTACAGCAGCAATGTAACAGCATTCTTCCTTCTATCCTTCCACACCTACTTCTTTCCCTTTTCTCCTAAGCAGCACCCACCCATTACCCAGGCTTGATATTAATTTGTGGCTTTTTCCTTCAACCTCCAGTAACCTGAAATAATATACTTGCTATCTAAATCACACCATCAAGAAAAGCCTTATCCCCAAATACAGCCACATGTTCACTGAAGCAGAAGGAACTGCATTTGAGCTCAGAGAGGAACTTCACACAATTACAATTCTTACAAGGCTGGCAAAAGCAAAACTTGGGGAAGGTGTGTTCCCTTTCCTTTTCTGAAGCCTCAATTTGTCCACATATTTTTCCTTTCTTGCCCAGAGAAGAAAAAGTTATTGTAAAGCACTACAAAGGAGATTACTATAGCCCAAAAATGAAGGCCCAGCTGTGGTAATTCGAGCTGACAGCTGAGCTGCTCGGTGTCAAGTTCTTTCTGTCACATTTATGTTGGAAGGATCTCTTAGCCCACCAAGGACTACAACTGGGGGTTCCTTGTACCCATGAGGCTCAACAGTCTCCCCTTTATGTCTGCAATTCTCCCTGTGACACAACCCAACTTCCCACAGTGGCCAAAGACTTCTGGCTGCTGTTTAAAATAAATTTGAAAAAACTAAAGTCACCACATAGCCTCCATTACGGATGATTAAGCCAGGCTAGCTAATATAGCCTGATGGATACTGAAATAAAATCCTGGAGTGCACTTAGCCTCCTACACACGAGTCAGACATTTTATCCATGCAATTCAGCAACACTTACACAAAAAAAAGGTCCCATCTAAATAGTAATGAGTACCTGAGTTCTGACTCCAAGAGAGCTCGCCAATGAAGCTATTTCTGTCACCTGACTTTGTTTACAGCAAGCCCTGAAGTTTAGAATCTAAAGCAAGATCTTAGAAACAGCAAGTTTTGGTTATGCCCATAATTAGTTACAGGAAAACTTGAAACTCAAAATTCCTTGCCCGATTTCTACCAATCACTAACTAACAGAGCAGATACTTTCCTGGAAGATGCTCTGGCTGTTTCCAGGTGTTCAAAGCTGCCCCTAAATGAAGGAGTTCTTATCAATGCATCTGACCTCCACAGCAATTAACCAACTTGTCAGTGAGGGGAGGGTAACACATTAATTACACTGCCACTGCAAAAATCAATCTGGCAAGAGGGAAAAGTCAAACCATTACTGACCCACAGTTTGGCAGTTCCATGGATACATTTAGAACCACCATGAAAGAAACTCAATCTAGAGACTGAAAGAGTTCAGTACCATGTCCTTATAGGTGCTGAATACAGTACCAGGTCATGTTTCACAGCAACAGGAGAAACAGAAGCTGTTCCCAGAACAGCTCCATCAGAATCCTTCTAGCCTGAGCATGATCAGCACCATTCTGAAGAACAGCTTCTCCCTTTATAGCATCCCAGATTTCAGCAACCCACTGGTTGAGGATTATGAATTTTCATTAGCTGCAGTGCTCTCCAAAATACACTCCAAAACCTATCTACCTGTAACATGAATGTAATCCCAGGATAACTGACCAACAATTAGCTCGAGGTAAAACACACTGAAAAAAAAATCTGTCCACGGTATCCCTTGTGCTCAGCTACAATTTTAGAAGCTCAACTACTTAAAGCTACCTGTAGCAATAATCCTGGCAATGAAACACTATTCCTGCAGATTGATGCAGTCACGTTGCACCTTCCTCTTCCACATGTGTTGCTTTTTTCCAGAGGTTACCAGGTAAGTTATTATTTTTGGAGACCTACAATAAATGAAAATAGCCAGTTAGTTCAAGCAGCTTAGTTGTTCCCCCAGAGCTTTACAACCACCCACACACCAAAGAAATAGGATAATTACCCACACTTCACACCTACTCCACTCTTCCTTCTGGGGAACACTCAAGACACTGATTTATAACAGCTTTCTGCTCAGGGCTGTCACCTCTCCAATCAAACAGCACGGGTTTGGTATGAAGCAAATGCTCAAGTATTGTCAAATTTTACATCTGTTCCGTTTCCTTTGTTTTAAGTTATAAAATAAAACCTCTCAAACCCCAGGAAATGTCTCAAAAGGGAACAAGGCAGGGTTGAACATCTTTTCCATACTCTTAGACAGGACAATTAAGGACAGCCGATTCCCCACTGGGGAGCCTTTGCCACTGTGTTCTGTTGGGCATCAAGAAACTACTGAGAAAAGTCACTCATCCCGTATTTCAACATTTTGCTTTGCTTCCATCAATCACCAGTTTCCATCAGCTTGAAGAGTTGAAATGTACCATACTGTTCTCCAGCACAGAATGTTTTCTGGAAGGATGTCACCAAGGACAGTAGGAAAGCAACCACAATAAGCAACACAAGTCAATCTTTATTGAAAACTGAAGTATTAATACATAACAATTCTTGTTACAATAAACGTGCTTTTAAGAATTTAAACTTGAGCTCATCTACTCATTGAATTGCATAAAAAATAAAAAAGTATGAATTTTCACAATTGAACTGGCTCAGAATGGAATCTCCACTCTTTGTGTTGATGCAATAGTTCAATGCAGGAGTGAGTGATGCCTTAAAACTTATTTTGGAAGACAACATTGACCTAAACTTAAAAAAAAGTACCAATACAACTGTTCCTAAGACAGTTTTAAAAAAAGTCATAAAAAGGAAACCTGTGTCTATTTCATAACAAACATGGAGAACTATTACTGGGGCCTCTTATACTTCCTTTGCATGCACTCACTTTTTTAGATCTTAAGACAGGAGGGCAGCCAATAATAGCATCACAATTAAAAAAACCCACTAACAAATCCCTTCTACTTAAAACAAGTCTGTACAGCAGCCAGCTAAAAAAGCTTTCCCAGTTTGCCTGCTAAGTGCCCAAAAGTCACAACCAGTTTAGAAAACTCACGTTCATTTTCTTGATGTTGAAATTTCAGGGCCCATAAATTGTCTAGATTTAAAAATCACAAATGGACCCTTACTACATGTGAAATTCAGATGTTTCAGTGTTACATGCAACCTGCACAAGAAAAGGCTTCTTGTGCCCACTGTTCCTCTTGCCTCTCTGGTGCCTACAGGACACCTTGCCTGCTCTCAGCACCCTGGGCAGAGGCTCCACACTGCCCAGAGCCCTGCCAGCAAGGGAACAAGCTCAACTTTGGGCCAGCCCTGCACAAACTGCCCGACCCTGCTGCAGGAGCTGCTGCCCTGTGCACTTCACCTCCTCACGTGAGGGGCTCTGCAGGAAGCCCAGAGCTGACACAACACAGGATTAGAAACTGACACTTCTTAATGAGAACAAGGTGAGTGAGCTGAAATTACCATGTATTTTACAGCCTTCCCAAAGCCTGGCTCACAGGGCTGAGGAACCTGTCTGGACTGACACGAGCTGGGGCAGGCTGGGGCTGTTTCCTAAGGAACACTGCACAAACACAGCCTGGGCAGCCACGGAGCAGGCACAGCCACGGGCTCTGCCCCACACCTTGAGCACCAGCTGAAGCATCACTATTGCTCATGTTCCTAAGATGGGAGGTGTCACACACACACACACACGGGAATTACCACTCCTGGGATGAGTTTGACCCTAGAGTTAGGTGGTGGTGTCAGACTGATGTGCTTACCTATTTGAGCAAAACCCAAATGAACAGTGTGGAACACTGCTGAAGCACTGGGGAGTGATTCCAAGTCGATGCTCTTTACCCAAGGAGCAGGGAAGTCAGAACACTCCATGGAGAGCAGCCAGTGCTACGTACCCAGGTGTACAGCTCTGCACCATCAGCTCTCCTGACAACACCAGGACACGGTGGTACTGATGGCTGGTGGTTTGCCTCTGTTGCTTGGTTAGCTTTTTCAGTGGATGGAGCAATACAAGGAAGAACTTCAACTAAAATAAAGGATTTTTTCACCTACTGCTGCATCTAAGCATTAAACTTGCATAGTACACTCAGAACAAAGCTTTCTTGAGCAGCATTCCTGCGTGTCCCCTAGAAACTCCAAACAGGAGAGGGTTACAACAAGCAAAAGCAACATCTACTACAGGTTGTTTCTTTTCCTTCCTAGTGTTTAGTTCACCACCACCACACTGACTAGGGCTGTGTTTTTGGTGCCAATTATTAGCCATTTTTCTTTCGCTGCTGCTACATTTAAAAGACATTTTCATCAGCTGTTACTGACATAGGGAATACCTCGGCTTTTAAAAAATACTTTATCTAGACGCAACACCTGAAATTTGAATTTAAAAAAAAAAAAAAATCTTGGACTTCTCTTTGTTATTGCTGCAACAGTTATTTTCAGTTCCAGGTTTATAGTAGTACATTTTTGTTTTTTTGTTTTTTAATCATATAAAGCTGCCATAAAAGTTTTTTTTAAAGAGAAGCTTGATCTGAAATGTCTCTACTGCACTAGCTCTTTTCATTTGCTGAGGAGCTTTAGTGCAAACACATACTGTGTTTTCATTTATAAAGGAATTCTAAATAGGGAATGTTATATAAAAAGCAGGAGAGAATGTTTCATAAGACCCTCACTGTGTAAACGCCTATTTAATGATGTACAGTTTCCCCCACTGCAGTTTTATATCCATGCTTTCTACTATTTGCAACAAAATACCATTAAGATAGTTATATATACACATATTCCCCCCGTCCCCCTGCACTGTGCTTTTGGTTACTTTTCAGAACAACTCCTGGAGACAAGCTCCAGCCTCCCAGTAGGATCAGAATCACTCAGGATTGGGAGGTGCAGTACCTTTGAAAAAGGTACAGGTTCTCCCTCCTGGATGAATCCCATAATGCAACTTAGAAAAAAAAGTGCTCAAGTAAGTGAGACTGCCTAAGTGTTATGGAATACTACACAGAGACCAATTCCAAGATGACATTTAGAAATCCTGAAGTTAGAGCAAATATATAGGAAGCTATATTCATTCCTTAACTATT